AGCATAATTCCTTCTAGTTCCACCCATGTTGTTGTGAAGGGTATGAGCTTATCCTTTTTGGTTGCCAAGTAATATTCCATTGTGTAAATATACCACATCTTCTTGGGCCAGTCATCTAGTTTGGGCATCTGGGTTATTTCCAAGGCTTACCTATTGTAAATTGTGCTTCAGTAAACATAGGGGTGCAGATGTCCTTTCAAATTAATGTTTTTGTGCCTTTGGGTAGGTCCCTGGGAGTGGTATTGCTTAATCATACAGAAGCACCATTTTTAGTAGTTTGAGGAACCTCCGCACAGTTCTCCATAGTGGTTGGACAAATTTTCTATATTTGAGTTTTACATAGTGGAAAATTGTTTTAGAGGATGCAGGGAGCTGAGGTAATGACGCAGGTATTAGAGGTAGGTGACAGGCCTGGGGAAACACAGATGTGACCCTTCCATGCTGATTTGGAAACATATTGCAAAGGCAATGGGCCAGAATATTGTTTGGCTAGGGAGCAAGAAGATCCAGCCCTCGGAAAGTTTATTTATTTGAGCTTTTGTTTTTGGGGGTGGAAAAACAAGTCAAGGAGCTCATATTACAAGGAGTTGTGACAAATCCAGTGGTAAGGAATCATGGTGTCTAATTTCCAAGTGCTCATATTCCATGTTGGAGGGAAATGAACACACTTTAATATTTTTGTCTGAGGGCAGAGTATGCCTAGAGTCATCCCAGAGGCGTAACTAGTAGGCCATTCTCACTGTAATATCTGGAAAGAGTACTGACAGAAATTAAGATTTTTAGATGCATTTAAAAATAAATCACAATTCAAAGATACTTTTGATAAAATGATTCAAACAAGGGCTTGTGCCCTGTGAGTGGAGGGCACTTTGATCTTGTTGAGCAGAGGATCCAAGGTGAGTATCAGCTCTATTTTGGGGCCACCTGCAGGACTTGAGTGTTTTCATTGAGTATTTTCAATTTTATTTGGTTCATATTAAGAAACCAACTAAGTTTTGAACAATGGGATGATATCCTTACAGAAAGCAACTATGACCAGGACTGGGTTGGGAGGGACAGTGATGGTGTACTCATTTATCCAGTTTGGGGAAGAGTTGAAGATTGCCTCTCATTCACTAGATGTGCATGCGTCTGCAGGAGCAAAACAAGCAGTGCATCTTGTTGAATAAATCCTACCATCTATGCATTTTTTTCTATCTGTGAGCCAAATATTTGGCAGCCAAGTTATCTTTAAAGTAATCAGAGCAAAACCTATTTGGAATAAATGTTTCAGAACCATTTGTTACTTTGCACAGACCTATGAGTAAATAGGATTGTGCTAAAGCATTTACCATAGCATGTGGTTCTGCAGAGGCTGCCACAATATTATATATATTTTTATCTTGGCTAATCTCTCACTGTTGCCTCCACTATTATTCAAAGACCTGAAGTGTCAACAAGGTAATTGAAATAGTGAAGTGGGAGGCAGGAGTTTTCCCTCCTGTTTCTTAGGAAGATTGGTCCTTTGCAGTCCTAGAATTCAGAATATATAAGGCGCCCAAACATCTGTCCTTTACCAGGTCAAACATTTCATTGAAATTATTTTCCAATTGCCTTTCAGTGTAAGGTAAGTATTCCTTAGTTACAGATCTAGTTCTGTAAATGAGTAGTTGGATGGTTTTGTCAAACCTCATATTCAATGAGGAAGAATTAATATTTTTCTTTATGGTTTTCTTTGAATCCCAGTACTAACATTCACAATTATTTCTGGCTCAGGTGTCTAGGAAATGGGGAGTCACATGGTAAGATTGTGGGCAATGATTTTTTTTTTTTATTAAAAAGTTTATTTTTACATCATTTTTCACATTTTTTTTTTCATCTCGATTGTAATCCCCACGGGCTTCCCATCACCAAATCACCCCTGTGCCACCACCATAGTCCCGTGCATTACCCTCCCTCCCCCCCCCCGTTTTTGATCCCATTCTCCACTCCACCCCCACAGAATGTCTCTGGTCTATGGTTGATCATTATTTTTGTTATTTTCTCGCCTGGTCCATTATACTCCTGCTATGAGTGAAACCATCCGGTATTTTTCTTTCTCTTTCTGGCTTATCTCACTAAGCATGATCTTTTCCAGCTCCATCCAAGTTGCTGCAAAAGACATGTGTTTCTCTTTTTTGGTTGCTGAGTAATATTCCATTGTATATATGTACCACATCTTTCTAATCCAGTCATCTACTTTTGGGCATTTGGGCTGCTTCCATGTTTTTCCAATTGTAAATAAAGCAGCAATAAACATGGGGGTACAAGTATCTTTTTCAATCAGTGTTTTTGTGTCTTTTGGGTAGATACCTAGGAGTGGGATTGCTGGGTCATAGGGAAGCTCCATGTTTAGCAGTTTGAGGAACCTCCAAACAGTTTTCCATAGTGGTTGTACTAGTTTGCATTCCCACCAGCAATGCAGGAGAGTTCCTTTTTCTTGTGGGCAATGATTTTAATGGAAGTGATAGGTGTTCCTTTTGGGTCAGAACATTTAATTCCAGTGTGAGACTCCTCAGAATTCATTCTGCTGAGGCAATTTACAATTTTCCACGTAGTGGTGGCTTTATTAGCTTGGATCCAGGAATGAGAACAGTTGGCAGTAGATGTCCCTAGTAAGCATGTAGTACAAGGAATTGGAAATAAACCCTAATCATTTTAAGCCACTGGAATTTTGAGGGGGCCATTTATTACAATAAAATAATCAATTTAATTTTGAATGATCTGGTCTCTAAAGACTAAACTGTGATGAAATTTTTTTTCCCTCTTCAAGTAATGGTTTAGTCATATGAGAGTTATACCATCCACAAACAAGATAAAGTGACTGAAAGGGTTCTGCTACAACTGGTTTACCAAATTCTATCCCAATTAACTCCAACAAGGTATTGGAGCATTTTAAAAAATATATTCATTACATCATTCTTCATTTTGTACTATGTATGATTTCTCTGTGCAGTTCCCACCACCAATTCACCAGTGCACCATAATCACACTCCTCTTCTGATCCTTCCCCCTCTTCTGCCAGTTGCCTGATGATTTAATGTTTACTTTATTATATTATTTTTTTCCCCCGATTCCTTATTTGGTTCCTCTTCATGCCTCCTATAAGTGAGACCATTAGATTTTTTTTCTTTTTCTTTTCCTTTCTGGCTTATTTCACAAAGCATAATCCCCTTCAGCCCCACCCAGGTTGCTGTGAAGGGCATGAGTTTATCCTTCTTGAATGCTGAGTAATAGTCCATTGTGTAGAGATACCACTTCTTTCTGATCCTGTCATCTATTTTTGGGCATCTGGGTTGCTTCCAATGCTTACATATTGTAAATTGTGCTGCAGCAAACATAGGGGTACAGGTATCCTTTTGAATTAATGTTTTTGTGTCTTTGGGTAGATTCCTAGGAGTGGATTTGCTCAATCATATGGAAGCACCATTTTTAGTAGTTTGAGGAACCTCCACACAGATCTCCGTAGTGATTGGGCCAGTAAAACTGTGATGAACTGGAGAAAAATCCTGGGATCCTTTCTTAAAGTAAAATTTTCCCCTATGATTGCTGTAGATACATCTCGAATCAATTTTGCACATGTTGTGGTCACCTCTGCCTGCCATAGCTTAGAGAACCTAGTGCCATTGAAATGATTTTTCCTTTTCTGAAGAGAAGTTCAGTTATTTGAGAAATTCAGTATCTTACAAACATGCTTTAGAATCACTTTCCTTGGAAGGATGGAATTAGAATTCTTAGTGAAATTTGAACTGTAACTGAAGATGTGACCAGTGTGGTTTTGTGGCCATCAGTGGGTGTAGAAACTATTTCCTAGAAAGCAGATAGGCAAAATTACAATATAGGAATGGGGCTGAATGCGCACTGATTCATATTAACTTCATTGAAAAATGCATAACTTTGTGTTCTTGTTGTGATACATTAGGAAAGTGCATGCCATCTTCTCTGAAGTAAGAAAAAGAAATTGAATCTAACTCTTATCACTACTCTAGGTTTACCTGTTGACAAGGAAATATAAGTAATTAGGGAACTCCTTAAGTGACACCGTAAGAATACAGTTAACCAATACTAAACTGGAATATTCTACAGGATAAATACTTTAGTTACTTCAAAAATAAATGCCAAAAAGAAGAAAGGGTGAAGCACTGTAAATGAAAGTCCCACCAACCTATGTAATACATGGATTCTGGTTGGACCTTGCTGTCAGTCATCCAAATGTAAAGGAGACATTTTAACATAATTGGAGAGAACTAAGGGTGGCTTGATTATTAGTAGTAGGATAAACAAATTTATCATTAAATTTAATGGCTGAGATAGTGCTGCTGTTTCTAGGCTGAAAAAAAGTTCTGATCTGTTGGAGAGAAATACTGATATAGGAGAAATGATATAATACAACATCTCCTACATCCTACTTCCCAAAACCTTAAATTAAAAGAAATGTAGATCTTAAAGATAATATATATGCTTGTGTATGTCAGGGTAAACAGAATAAGAGCGGCAGAACACTGGTATGGAAACTGAATCCTGGGTACCTCGTTCTCCATTCCCTCGAGACAATTGTATAGAATTTAAATTTATAATTTTCTACCACAAAATGTTTCTTAAATATCTACCTTCTTTCCTAGGATTCCTCTATGAAAAAGGGAGTTTCCCTTTCCTCAAATCCTCACAAGGATGCTCTTGTCCTGCCTTTGTTCTCCTTCTGTTTTGATGACATCTGTAGCATCTTTTCTAAGTTGGAGTCCACTGAGGATTTTTTAAAAAGATGTATTTTTTTATGCACACAGAACCTGGGTACAGCCAGAGACACAGGGGGTGGTGAGAGGCTTCACCAGAGACAGAGTGGGGAGCAGAACAGGCAGATCAAAGGTCTGCTGTGCCATGTGGATCACCTCCAGGGCCAGGGAAGAGCTGGCACTGAAGCGGATGCAGCTCGCTTGCAGTGCTGCATCCTAATCTGATGTTCCGACAGGGAAGGACCCCACTGAGGATTTTTAATGTCTGCGGTGACTTCTGGGAATCCACCTCCTCCCTGCACCTCTATTCTCCTACCAGATCATGGCCCCTGTCCCAAAATCTCTCATTTTAGATTGCAGTCAAGAGGATACTGATGAACTGGAACGGGTGTCCATTGCAACCAGCCAGAAAGCGTAAGACTGTTTTTTCAACTCCACTTAATTTCTATTTAAGCCTTGGTCCCACTAGTGTGCTGTTTATATTGCTACCCATTGCTGTTTGGAAATCATTCGGGGCCAAAGTTTTGAGAATGGGAGAGAGAGCAGGATCACCGTTTGTGGAACACGCAGCTGTGATAGTGAAGAAGTCATGCAGCCCGTCGCTCGCCTAGCTTCCTTGATGTTTGATGGGTCCTCCGGCGAGATGCCCGGGACAGCTTCCTTAATTCTGCTTGTGGCTGATTCCTCTTGGAGTTTTGCCATGTCGGCCCCTTCAGCCACACTGCAAATCCTCCATGATCTATAGCTCTCTCTCTCTGACTTCACAGAACCTCACAGTACTTTAAGGTTAAGAGCAAGCACTTAATTTCAGCAGGATTCGAGAATTCCTGCTTCTGTTTGTGCTCAAGTATCCTCTCATTTCTAGGGAGTTTGAGATTCTAGAAATAAAGGCCAAGGCTACCCACATGCTATTTGCTGTTTCCAGTCTTTTTCTGCTCCTCCTCAGGCTCCTCATTGAATACTGAAGGGAAATGATGGCGTAGAAGTCAAAAAAATAAATTGAAACAGAGACAGAGTAACATCTCCCCAAAATACTGTCACCTTTGGAAGATGTGGAGAAGGCATCATTTTTAAAAAGGGGGTGTGGCCATTTATAGGTTCACAGAATGCACTGATGTCACCCCTGAGGTCAGAGAATGCTGCTAGAGGCCTAGTGACCTTTGAACCTTAACAGCCCTGCTCTGTAGTGAGCCCTGGGTGGTGCTGCTACTTCCTCAGTGGCCTGAGTTCCTCAGCCATTTGAGAGACTTGACCATTTTCATTTGTATTAAATCATTTCAGCAAATTTCCTGAGACCCAAGAGGGGCAAAGGGAGAGAGCTGCAGCTCTGTGTCCCCTAAGGCACGTTGCCAGCAGGTCGTATGAAACGGCGACAAAAGAGGAAACATCTGGAAAATGAAGAGTCCCAAGAAAGTGCTGAGAAGGGAGGAGGTAGGTGCTTGGCATCGGGAGCACAAGGGTGCGGGCCAGTGTAGGGCTGGGCCAGGAAGGAGGGCTAGAGAGTGAAGCCACCACTCCTGCATGGAAGAAGACCAGTATGGACTGGTGGGTCCGACCATCCCCAGGGCCCTGTGGGGGAAGGTAGCGCAGTGCCTTATGGACGGCAGGTCTACCTGCTGGCCAGGGGCTTCTCCCCTAAGCCAGGTGGTGCCTGGGGCACTGGCGGCCCAGCAGCAGCCTCCTGCTGGGGTGTCTCTGATGTGTCATGTTTCTCAGTCCCCTTCCTGCCCACTGAGACCACATGGATGGCGCTGCATGGGGACTGGAAACATGTAAACAAACAGTTTGTGCTGAGAAAGGGGTGGGCGCAGGGAAGAAATACAGCCCAGGGGCTCCCAAATTAGAGCCCCAGTTAGCACCCAGCAGCTGGTTCAGCCCTGGGCCCCAGCATCCTACGGAGGCCAGGAACATTCCAGGCACACCTGGGTCGGGACAGGAAAGAAAGTGATGGCTCTTGCTGGTTACACCTGAGAATGTCTTTGTCTCTGTGTGGTGTTGGGGTAGCGGTAGGGAGAAATGTGTCACGTGCTCCCAAAAGGGTTGACATCTGCGTGGTGATGCTCCTGTCGCCTGCCTGTGCCTCCATAACTTGAGATACAGATAAGAGTATCTGTGGAATCTTCATGAGAGTCTCCCCGATGCAAAGACCATCGTAGCCACATACGCTCCAAGACAAAAAATTCAAAGCTACTTCTTTATTTAATCCACATGGATTAAATAATCAAGTGGGTATGCCTCTGTTGGTATTTCCACACAGCAGTCCAATGCTGTGCACACATGATACATGTGTGTGCATTATTGTCTTCCTACACCCAAGTCTGGCATGTACACACACACATACACACACATATCCCAAGTCTGGCCAGGTATAATATAGCACGTTGAATGGACTTCAGGTAAACTATGGATACTTTTTCTTACTATGAGTATGTCCCAAATATTGCATAGGAAGATTTATACTGGAAAACAAGTCATGGTTTATCTGAAATTCAAATAACTTTGAGTTTATTTGGGATTAGGTATTGTGGTTTGCAAGATCTGGCAACCCGATATTCTTATCTGCAGCTGACCTTTCCGTTTGGTGTCTGTGTCCTCCTACTAGATGGTTAAGTTTTATTGGAGGCTAGTATTGGAATCATGCCTGACCCAGAGTAGACACTCACTGAATATTGTTGAATGAGTAAATGACTGAATCCCCCCCCCCCCCCATAAGTACAAACCATGCCATGTGATCAGGGAAAGTGACATGAGGCATCATCCTGAGCCCTGCTTACCACACCAAGCCTGCACTTATCAAAGGCTTAGCTCATCCACAGCCCTCTCACCCTTCACACATATTCTCCACGCATGCCAACAGTGTTAACATGAAACTAATAAAATAGTTACTGATTGAATTAAACATTGCTGGATCTGCCGGGAAGCAGCCTGTAGGCCTTGCGTATTTACTGCACCTGACATACATCAAACGCTCATGTTTTTGCTGGATAGATGAATGATACAGAAACACGCCCAGCCCACCATCTCTCCGAGTTTTCTTTCCTTCCTCAGGAATCTCGAAGCCGCAAGAGGATGCCTCTCGGCCCGAATCCACTGGTGTGCCCAAAGGCCTACGGGTAGGGGAGGTCTCCTCGGCTTCTGAATACTTCTCCTGTGTCTCTTCTCCACGCAAGTTCATCCATGCCGGTAAGGGGTGTGGGGCCCTTGGGTGTGGGGCATGAAGCTGAGAGGAAACCAAATCAACTAGAGGTGACAAGGCTCTGTGGAGGAGACTGGGAAGGTGGCAGAATTGTTAGGTGAACATGACCAGGTAGGGGAGTTAAGGCTCCAGAGCCAGAAAGGTCCGGGGTTTGAGGTATAGGCGGAGGGGCCGGATTAAGCACTTTTGGGGGAACTAAGTGGAGTTTGCCTTTGCCTTACTTCCAGAAAGAGACAGGATTCCTCAGCACAGTCTCTGGCACTGGCGCAAGATACAGAGCTCCAGCCCACACACCCTGCATACCGACTGCACTGCACACACATCTGTTCTCAGCACACAACCAAAACCCGCGCCCAGGATCACAGTGCCATCACCCTATACCGCAGTCTATGGTCCACAAAAAGACACGTCAGTGACACGCTCACATCCTCCTCACAGCACACCCGGCTCATCAGCCGCCCCACTTCAGCCCGCACCATCAGACAACATACCCCTCAACACAGACACCCATCCAGAATTCCTGCTCACGCGCGTGAACTCCTGCTTAAGCACCAGGCCTGCGGCCTCTCAGAAAAGGAACAACAAACAGCAGCCCCACACCACATTTCTTCTTTGAGGTGCCACTGGGATGAGCTGTTCCTTCAGCTTCAGCCCTGCCTCTCGGCCCCTCCCCCATCCTCATTCTTGTCTTTCTAATTTCCTTTCCCAGGAGTGCGGAGGTTACAGCGAGAAAGAGAAAGCCCCCGGCCTAGGTCTCCCCTAGTCCAGTTTCAGGAACAAGGGGAGATGGCTCCCCCTTCTCAGCATGTCTCTTTCTCATACCCTTCCTCCTACAAGACCTGCGTGTCCTCTGTGTACATAAACAAAGAGGAAAGGGGCATGAAAATATACTACATGAAGGTACAAATGAAAAAAGGTGTGGCTGTCTCCTGGGAGTCCAAAGAAACCGCAGAGTCACTGGAAAAACAGCTGAAGGTGGAAGAATTGATCCTTCCTGAGAAAGTGCGGGTAGGTGCACCCCCCTCTGATGTGTCTACCAGAAACCTCCTGTCGGACAGCGAGCCTGGCGGTGGCGGGGAGGAGAAAGAACACGAGGAAAGGGCAGAGCCAGACAGCCCACCGGGGTCCCCTGCCGTGGAGGAGAGGCCCAGGGCCAAGACACCTGACTGGCTGGTGACCACAGAGACTGGCTTCAGGTGCATGGCCTGCTGCCGTGTCTTCTCCACCTTGGAGATCCTCCAGGAGCATGTGCAGTTTGGGATCAGGGAAGGCTTCAGCTGCCACGTCTTTCATCTCACCATGGCTCAGCTGACAGGCAGTGTGGAATCAGAGAGCATCCAGGAGGAAGCAGAGGAGGAGGAGGAGGAGGACCAGGAGCAGGAGCAAGAGCAGGAACGGGAGCAGGAACAAGAACAGGAGCAGGAGCAGGAGCCGAAACAGGAACAGAAACAGGAAAAGGATCAGGATCAGGATCATGAACAGGAACAGAAACAGGAGCAGGAGCAGGAGCAGGAGCAGGAGCAGGAGAAAAAGAACCAAGATGAAAAGGAGAATGAGGATGAGCAGCCAGTAGGAGAAGATCTTGGCATGAGGAGACCTTGGAGCCCATGTCCAGGCTATGTGTTTCAATCTCCAAAGGACAGGAAGTGAGCAAGGGCTGGGTCCATTGAGGGACTGTACCTTCTCCAAGCCAGTACTATCTCTCTAGTCTAGGCTCATGTCTCCAGGAGGGAGATTTGGGGGCTTTGTCAGCTTAGGGAACAACTGAAGGGGGGAGAGGGTAACTGGGCTCCTTGCTTCTTGCACAGGCATTTAGTAAAGACATGCCTGTAGGTGGACATTTTTATTGAGCTTTTTAGCTCCCACAGGAAGTTCTAAAAATTTCCAAGGGCTAACAGAACACTTTTCTCTTTAACTAAGTATCTTTTTCTGTTTTGGTTTCCACACAGCAATTGAGTTACATGGGCCAGAAGATCCTGGAAGATGTTGTGGTCTTCTCTTGGGAGAGGTAAAGCTGGAGACTGGCACAGTCTTCTGAGTCTCCATCATGAGGGTCTAGAAGAATCTAAGGGCAGGGGTTATACCTGGGAGCTCGACAGTTATGTCAACTTAGTCATACCCCAAAATTTGGGGAAGTGATCTCCATTTATTTGAATGAGAAAGTGGGGGAGGTTTGATTCTTGCTTTCTCAGTATGACCTTGATTGACTTCAACTCTGAGAGGAAATACTGCCAGGAACCCTTCTAGAGAGCTCAGCATAGCCTCAAGGGTAGGGTCAGTGTGAAGAGAAAAGAGGGAACTATCAGGATCAGAAGTGTGAGGTCTGAGAGTCTGAGAGTCTTCACCTGGACTGGGATGACCTTGGCGGGACACTATCCTTGGCCAAAAAGGGATGTACGGAGAGGATTTAATATGAAAATGAGGTCCCAAGTTATCTGGCAAGTTTGCAGGAAACAAACTCTGTGTTGTGCCTGGCTCTGATCTTTATGACTGAGGTGAAGGGCAGTTGGCCCACAGAGCTCATATTACTTGTTTCTATGTTTTCTGCCTCCTTTGTTTCTTACTTCCAGGGAGAAGATAGAACCATTGGCAGACAGAATGCCAATGGTATGATGGGGATGAAGGGACCAGTGTTACATATAAGCATCATATGCAATAAAGGCTGTTTTCCAAACCTGTCTTGGATATAGTCTGTAATTAAATATACGTATGCATGTTATGTATGTTTGTTTATATCCATCCATCCATCCATCCATCCATCCATCCATCCATCCATCCATCCATCCATCCGTCCGTCCGTCCGTCCAGCATCCATCCATTTCTGTCTGTAAAGTGGTTTGTGAATCAGATTTATCGTAAACACCAAAGAGATGTATCATCCCGTGATAGAAACAGCGGTTCCCAAGCTCCTGGAGTTAATTAGGCTTCTGTGTGAACTGGTACCAAAACAGGATACCGCATTTCACACGAGACCATGACAAGCTGCATGGCATTCAGATGAAACACCTGGGAATTGTTATGGAAGCAACGTCCAGTGGGCCAGTAGCTGAAAGCACTGAAAAATGTCTCTCCACGTCTGGCCTGGAAGAGGGACTGTACTTCAGGAGAAAACACCAGGACAGAGGAGGACTTCCTGTTGTGAAGATTTCCATAGGACAATTCTGTCCTGAGATGATGGAACTTTTTTCTAGCACTTGGAGAAGAGGCCATTTGATCACAGGAATTTTGGTAAGAAGTAATTTTAATTTTTTATTATTTGTGCATAGAGAACTAGGGTGCAGGCCAGAGGTGCAGGGGCCGTGAGAGGATTCACCAGAGACAGAGTGGGGAGCAGAACAGGCAGATCAACGAAGTACACTGCTGAGGGGAGCAGCAGGTGAGACAGGAGAGGTCTGCCGCGCCATGTGGGTCACTTCCGGGGCAGGCGGGGATCGAACTACCACTGAAGCAGCTGCGGCTCACTTGCAGTGCTGCGTCCTTACCATTGCACCACCAGGGAGGGCCCTTCAAGTTTTTAGAATCTGTAACAGAGACTTCCATGTTCTTAGTATTCTTCCAATAAGTCAGCTTCATGCTAACTTAGTTTTCTTCCATGTTCTTAGTATTCTTCCAATAAGTCAGCTTCATGCTAACTTAGTTTTCTTCCATGTTCTTAGTATTCTTCCAATAGGTCAGCTTCATGCTAACTGGCTTGATGCTTCCCAGCCCCTCTATCCACACTGTCACCTGTGCAACACACCCTTTGTTCCCTTGTCCCGAGATGCATGATACTTCCTTCAGCTGTCATCCCAAAGAATTAGGTACTTGGGGCTTATCCTCAAATGACCCTTCCATACTTGCAATACTGTCTGGGCTTCCACATGTTCTGATAACCCCGGTAGTCTTTCCCCTCTGTTCCTTTTCACCAATACTGAGCCTACCAGGAGGGTTCCCTTTCTCCCTCTCTTCCTAGGTCTGCATCATTTCCTGTCCTTTTCTTCCTTTACCTGACCTGCCTTTCCACTGACTGATTTAGACCTCTAGGGTTTTCACCATCACTGTTTCTGCTGCACGAGCCAGAAAGTCTGGGGGGGCAGAGGAGGTAACATGAAGCCTGCAGGCTGATGAAGCATTGCTGGCTGCCATTCTCGCTGAGTCACAGGGACAGCCCTGGCCGTGAAGTGAGGGTTTGAGGCCTGTGGTTTGAATGCTTCTCTGATTAGCACAAGTGCACACATCCGCCACACTAGGACCTCTTTGTGGGGCCACTGACAAAACAGATTTGGAATGAGGCGCTGAGGACATGCTGAGAGTCAGGTCACCTCAGAGCAGCTGGAAGCCATGCTTGAACTCCTCTTTTTAGCCAGTGGTTGAAAGTCTAGTCAAGTAGATGGAACTCACTTTTTTCCCTGAAATTCACTGACATGTGAAATTGAACAGAACATGAATAAATACATAGGGGTTTGTCAGAAATAGGGAGTGAGCTCAACCTTTGTCCACAGATTGTGTGGGAGGGGCAGCCAAGTGGGACCCTCCTTGTTTGGGGGTACAGTGTGGCCCCTACTGTGTCAGAGCATCTCCCCTCTTCATGCCTTTCTGGTTTGGAGGCTATTTGGTAAAAACTGCCTGGAATCTGGGGGTCAAAATAGCAATGGGTTCAAGAACCCCACTGCTGGGCCATCTACTCTCTCTCTGTCCTTTCTGACTTTTTAAGGATTTGAGAATGATAAATATTAAGATTCTATGACTAGCATTTTTCTTCAATATTTCATTGATTTGCTGTTCATTTACAAAAGATGAAAGTTTGGCAGAGCAGAATAACCCACATGGGCATAGCCGCTCTCACCTGTCCTCTGTGGCTCCAGTGCCAATATGACCTCACCCCTCCTGCCCCCTGCTGGTAAGCACCCTAGTTTTAAAATCTAAGTGGGATTTTGTTTTGGTTTTGGTTTTGGTTTTGGTTGTGGTCTTTTGAGGCCATTATCATCTAATTATCAAATTTTGAAATCACTGTGATTTATACCTCAAACACTATTTGCTTCTTTCCCACTAATGCAGTGCAGTGACAGGAAATTTCCCATGTTATCAGGGCATGATTGAGTCTCTCAGCAGGTAAAAAGTATCTGCAGAAATCATCTTTCAGTTTCATCAAAAACTAAACTGACTTTTAGTTGGAGGGAGAGGTTTCTGTCCTAACTTGGATACAGATGGGGAAATAATCTTCCAGACACAGGTCTTTTAGAACATTCCCGTCTCACTATCACCCAGTTTTCCATCCCAAAGTCCCAGCTATCAATGCAGCGGTCACTTGTCCTAAGACTTAACTTGATTTTTAATCTATTTGCTGCACAACATTTCAAACACAAAGTTTTTTGATATTAAAATAATACCTGTATACCTGCCATCTGGCATTAATAGGTGTTAAGTCACATTTGCTTCAAATCATTTATGATTTTACAAGGTGATTTCATTGCCTTATCTGTCCTTATAAACTTGTGGTTTATCAGGTTTTGTGCGGTTATTACAAAAACATTTATAAAATGCCTGTATACAGGTAGTGTTTTGAGTACTTTAAAAACCTTTTACAAATAGTGTCATATTCATGTATGACTTTGCAACTCATTTTATTGTTCAAAATCATGTTTTTAAGATTATTATTAATTTTATACATGCTCATCCATTTTTATTGTTATGTTATGATCTATTCTGTAAATATGCCAGATATTTGTTATTCTGTTTTTGATAAAATTTTTGGTTGCACCCCAATTTTTTCTTTTACAAAGAGTATCAAGGATCTTCCTCAAGGATCAAAACCCAGAATACACTGCATTTTTAAGTTTACATATTACATCCCTCCCTTTATTTTCTTTGAGTACTATGTTGTTAGATAATGATTAATGTCTTTCTCTATAGTCAAGAAGGACTCAGCTGTTTGGAAAAATGGCTACTTACCTTTACCTACCTCCCAACAGCCCAACTCCATCCAGCGCTTTGAAGCCCAAGGTAAAACAAGAATGGGATGGTCTGAGGCATTTCCCAGAAGGTTGGCAGTTAGTAGTAGGTGACTGGTTGGGACCCCTAGGGATTCTAGGCTCACCTGGGCCTTTTTCTGCTCCAAGGTAAATATAGAGGAAAGAATATTCCAAAACCTGTGAGTAGACAGAGTGAGAGATGCCTGGGGTCTCTGAGTTGCTGCAAAGGGACAGAGCAGTCAGGTAGCCTGATGCTCTCTGAGAACTTCTCTTCTAAGAATGCTTTTAATTAAGGTGATGCCAGGCCCACACTGCTGACTTGGGTCTCACTGTCTCAGAAAGCTGCTGCTTTCTCAGGAGCTGTTCTTGTTCACATGCTCTTCTTTACCATTACTTGGCTAATGTGTCTGCTAGCTTCACTGATGTGAACCCCAGTAGCTAGAGGATCTGGGACAGTAACCCCCACCTTGCTAAGCAATCTTGGTTCACTGCTTGAGGGTGAGGAAGGAGGCCAGGTTTGCTCAAGAAGGAATGATGGTGTTTGCAGAGATCTGAATTGAGGGGATTTTCTCAAGTCTTGATGGATGGAATCTAGCTGTATTGCCAAATGAGTTCCTGAAGTCCTACCCAGGGGGCTGGTTCACTCAGCAAAGCAACTGTGTACCCACTATATATTGCCTGTTGCTCACACTTTCCTGCCTTTTATATACACTCTGGAAAACTGATCTTCCACTACAAGCCTTTCCACCTTCAGTGATCTCTCCTGAACATTACTCCCTCTCCCAGACACTCATAAAATACCACTGTAGTGAACTTGTAATTTGATCATCCTATTTCCTCTCATTATGTTGTCATCAAATTCTGATGCATTTTAGTCATTCTGTACTATAGTTCTTAATTTGATAACTGTGGGTCAACCCAGTAGAAATCTCTTTCCCTTCCCTGTATTCTTTGACAAATTCTTTCTACTTTCTAAGGTGTTGTTAATTTTTTTCCCCCTTTTATCATCACAACCTTTTTTTATCCCTATTATTTCAGTAAACTTTCAATATCTTTCTCCAGTTTCCTCCCAAACATTTAGGGTTTAATCCTTGCAAATTCAATGAAGTTTGATGGTTGAAAATGGATAACCTCCCTGGTATTGTTGCAATTATGGAGGCTTCCTGGCAGGCTACTCATAAAGCAGGTACATGCAGACCTGCAGCTGAGTTCAAACCCCTCCTGAGAACAAAGGCTAGTCCAAGAACACCTCTCAGCAAATTGGAGTCCCTGGACAATTGCCCAAACTTAGCTTGCAATTCACATCCAATTAAGATGACTTAGATAAAACTTGTGGGGTAAATGTATCTCAAAATCCACCTAAATAGAAAAAAAGCAATCCAAAATCAAAATTTGGGAGGACATCACACATAAAATAAGTTAGGGTGGTCCTCCCTGGTGGTTCCACGGGTTAGAGGGCAGCACTACAAGCTAGCTGCAGCTGCTTCAGTGAGTTCGATCCCTAGTCCTGGAGGTGACCCACATGGCGCAGCAGACCTCTCCTGTCTCACCCGCTGCTCCCCTCAGCAGTGTACTTCGACAGTCGGCCTGTTTTGCTCCCCACTCTGTCTCTGGTGAATCCTCTCACCACCCCTGAACCACTGGCCTGTACCCCAGTTCTGTATGAATAACTAAATAAATAAATCTT